CGCTACGTGCGCCCGCGCGGCCTCTGCTTCTCGCAGCAGGAGCGGCAGCGCTACGGGCTGGAGCTGGCGGCCGTGCTGCGGCACGTGCTGCTGGGGCTCGGCCTCATCCTCGCCGACTACAGCGTCTTCTGGTTCCTCGACCTGCTGCGGCACGAGCTCCGCGGGGAGACGGTGGCGCGCGGTGAGGCGGGCACGGGGGTGACGGTGGAGGTGGCCGTGGGGACGGAGACGGGGATGGGAATGGGGATGAGGTGGGAGATGGAGGTGGGGATGGAGATGGGATGGGGATGGAGGTGGGATGGGGATGGGGATGGAGATGGGATGGGGATGGAGATGTGGATGGAGATGTGGGTTAGGATGAGGATGGAGATGGGACAGAGATGAGAACAGGGTGGGGATGGGAATAGAGAAAGAGATGGGAATGGAGATGGGGATGGAGATGRGGATGGGGATGGGGACTGGGGAGGGGACGGAGGTGGGGATGGGGACTGGAGTGGGGACCAAGGTGGAGATGCAGATGGAGATGTGTGTGGGGATAGGGATGAGGATAGGGATGAGGATGGGGAYGGAGATGGGGAYGGGGATGGAGGATGGGGGTGGCGACACCCCGCTCTGTCCCTTGGCGCTGAGCGGGGCTGCCCGCAGCGCCCTCGGTGCTGGGCATCTCCGTCAACGGCAGCGGCTACACGAGCGAGATCTTCCGCGACCTGGTGGGCGCCTTCGAGGCGCTGCAGCAGGGCAACGTGTCGGTGCTGTCGCAGCGCTGCCGCCTGCGGCCCGTGGAGCCCGACTACCGCACCTACATGGCCATGGGTGAGCGGGGGGACACGGGGACGTGTGGCCGGGGGCGCCCGCGCCCACCCACTGCCTCCCCAGGCATCCTCTACGGCGTCTGCCTCTCCATCGCCCTCGTGGGCAGCTACGTGGGGCGGCTGCGGCGCGTGATCTGCGCCGCCTACTACCCGGAGCGCGAGCAGGTGAGCGGCGGTGCCGGTGCCGGTGCCAGGGGGTGGCCGCCCGCACCGACACCGCGCGTGCTCGCCCAGGAGCGCATCTGCTTCCTCTACAACAGCATCCTGGCGCGGCGCACGGGGCTGGCAGGAGCGCTGCACCGCGCCGCGCGGCGCCACGCGGCTGACGGCGCCCACGCCGACCT